GAACAGGGCCGCAGCAATCCAGCAGTTCAGAATAGGGTTTACTTCTAGTTTAAGCAGTAAGTGCATTAGATATTCATACGGTACTTTATTGTAGGCTTCTTCTAAGTCGACCGCTGTCGCACATGTCTCTTCTTTCATTTGAAATCCTTCGTAAACATCGTTAATCAAAGACTGCAGCATTGAACCAAGTCTCTTTATTCAACCTGTACCCTCCAGGTGGAATTTATCGAGCAGTTCCAAGTTGTTAGTTAATCTTGCTAATATTGAATTCTCTTGCCACGCTCTTCATATTAGCATCCGACATCATCAACATGTCGTCGTATCGGATGCCGCCAGGGCCTGGAGCAGTGATGTGCGATTTCTTAAGGCAACTTGGTCAGGTATCTGCGGTGACTGGATAATCAGTGCCCAGCGCAATGTTCTCACACAGCCTCGAGAGTTTCATCTTAACCGCCATTCTTGCAGTCTCGTCTTTCTGGCCAGTTTGCTCTAAGTACCGCTCAAAAACTGCTCTACCTTTATCAGCATCATTTCTTTACCATATCAGTTCTGTGATCTGAAAATCTGTGAATATTCCTTTGTCGTGCGGCGCCGTGCAGTCTCCGTTGAAGGCACCAGAATGCCAGTTTGTACTTTCGAATATATTTGGAACTAACCGATACTTGTCGAGCAAAACTGTACCAGCCTTTTGTTCTGTATGTTTTAGAAATACTGTAAATGTTGATATTGTATGCAGAATCCAATAAGTGTTCGTGAAGAAAGACCGATGTCACTTATGCTATAGGTCATGAAATGTCCCTGCCTTGTTAAGAATAACATACATACATACATATATATATATATATATATATATATATATATATATATATATATATATATATATATATATATATATATATATATATATATATATATAAATGCATATATCAGAAAATATTTGGTTTACTATTTCAGAAGAAAAATTTGGATATGAAGTTGGGTTCTATTAGTATCAACATTTATGCTTAGTCTTTTGGCATTATCTAATTCCTCTGTAGCTGCAGGAAGAGTTTTCTCCCTGCCTAACAATATGAAGACTAATACAAATTTTAAAAAAACGCCCCACTGTGAAGCTATTGTTCCAGGACATTGAGTGCAACAGCTGACAGCCGTCACAACAGCTGACCGCCGTCACAACAGCTTTGTAACAAACTGAGAAGGGGGAGAATGGGGCAGCAATAGTTTGATGGGAAAAGGCTCTTAATTCACGTAAAATACAAGGTAAGCTAGTTTTATGCGTGTGTATTTGTGTGTGTGTGTGTGTGTGTGTGTGTGTGTGTGTGTGTGTGTGTGTGTGTGTGACATATTTCGTCAAAGGTTGATACCTTTTCAAAATTATTTGGTACTCTTCCCCCCAAAGCTGCCCTGCTTACTGTATAACAGTGTGGAGACTGATGGCGGCAGGTGTGTGTCAGACGGATGACAATGTAGGCAGAATTAATTGACACCTGTGTTGTCTAGCAGAGCTTGGTAACGTTGAATAATTGACTGAAGGTAGTGTAGTAGTGTCTGTTGACTACAGGGGAGGTTTTGACTGTGTTGATGCGACTGTTACGGTTATCATGTTGATGCTGCACATTGGCACCAGCGTTTTCGCTCATCTTACAACGGTCTAGTCTGAGTTACTACTGTCTGTGCTATCTTTTATATTAATTCACACTTTCTTCTTTTTCTTCTTCTTCTTCTTCTTCTTCTTCTTCTTCTTCTTCTTCTTCTTCTTCTTCTTCTTCTTCTTCTTCTGTTATTTTTATTATTATTATTATTATTATTATTATTATTATTATTATTATTATTATTATTACTGTTATTACTATTGGTATTTTTACACATACATCACCATTATCATCACCACCACAACCACTACTATACCACCACCCACACAACAAAAGCAAACAACAATTACTACTACTACTACTACTATTACTATTACTACTACTACTACTACTACTACTACTACTACTACTACTACTACTACTACTACTACTACTACTACTACTACTACTACTACTGCTGCTGCTGCTGCTACTAAAACATCAACAAAAACATCAACAAAAACAATAATTTCCCCTATTGCTGCTGCTGCTGCTGCTACGACCATCATCTCTATAACAAAATCCATGGCCACTACAGAGTCTGTAAAAAAATGCTGATATTCACGTCAAAGTGTCTATTACAGTAGTTCTGAAAAAAATCATGTTGGCTATAAGATGCCATAACAGTGTGGAGACTGATGGCGGCAGGTGTGTGTCAGACGGATGACAATGTAGGCAGAATTAATTGACACCTGTGTTGTCTAGCAGAGCTTGGTAACGTTGAATAATTGACTGAAGGTAGTGTAGTAGTGTCTGTTGACTACAGGGGAGGTTTTGACTGTGTTGATGCGACTGTTACGGTTATCATGTTGATGCTGCACATTGGCACCAGCGTTTTCGCTCATCTTACAACGGTCTAGTCTGAGTTACTACTGTCTGTGCTATCTTTTATATTAATTCACACTTTCTTCTTTTTCTTCTTCTTCTTCTTCTTCTTCTTCTTCTTCTTCTTCTTCTTCTTCTTCTTCTTCTTCTGTTATTTTTATTATTATTATTATTATTATTGTACTAGGGTGGAGAAGCCCTAAGTACCAAGATAAAAAATAAAGGAAAATAGTTCGTTTAGGTGGGGACTAGAAACAGGGATTTTCTAGTCCAGACACAAGATCTTCTGTGTAAAGTCTAATAAGCCAGGTAACAAATAAACAAACTACACACACTAACCACAAACCCTAATCTGAAGCAAAGCAACTGGAACTATAATTATCAAATTCACATCTATTTATTTCACTGAACATCATCTAAGGTCTTCACAAATAATAATGCATTAAAATTCACAACGTGTTAGGAAATACCCTACAATAGATGAAACCTATCTTTCTCTCTACACACCTCAACCCACGTTGCGTAAAATCATTGAACGCAACGGACAAATCAGAACTACATGTTTCTCGTCCTAAAACCAGTGAGCCTAAGAGGGCGAAAATGGTCACTCCGGTCTGTTTTATCACTTCCTGACCCCCCAAGTTGGCCAGGTTTTTAGGTCGCTTAAATAGGCCTAATTCAATTTATGTAACAGTCGTCCAGCGCCTATTTTCAGGTCTCCTCATCAAATCTGTTGGCGTCCCGACAACTACACAATACCTAACAATAATTGTTTACCAATCCTTCCTTAACTCCTGTTCTTCATTTACTGTGCATTGACCACAGAAACAAAATTATTTTCATGACATAACATAATCTCTAGCTACTTGCAGAATCTTTAACATGTACACAATCGTCAATAACACACAACAAGCAAATCTGCAATAATATAAAAAACACAAAAATGCAAAAAAAATCGAATACATTGTGATCAGCAAACATCAGGATTCTTGAGTGGCTGCTCTCGCTGACATCCAGCAATTCTTGGTAGACGGGTTCTTTCAGTTGTTTTTATTACCTCAGCCGCGGGGCTTACATTGGACTGTTTCCACCACACCTTGCCACCACCGCGTGACACAAAGAAGTTTGCCCTTGTCACCACCGCGTGACACAAAGAAGTTTGTCCTTGTCACCACCGCGTGACACAAAGAAGTTTGTCCTTGTCACCACCGCGTGACACAAAGAAGTTTGCCCTGGTCACCACCGCGTGACACAAAGAAGTTTGCCCTTGTCACCACCGCGTGACGCTTAAAGGACTTTCCAACATTTTACCTCAGCTTTGACAAAGCCTGATCGGACATACCTCAGCTCTGCGTGAGCTTACAATGGACTGATCGGGACATACCTCAGCTCTGCGTGAGCTTACAATGGACTGATCGGACATACCTCAGCTCTGCGTGAGCTTACAATGGACTGATTGGACATACCTCAGCTCTGCGTGAGCTTACAATGGACTGATTGGACATACCTCAGCTCTGCGTGAGCTTACAATGGACTGATGGGTCACTGCAATGTTATAAAAACTTCACTGCATACCTCAGTCGGTCAGTGTAATTCACACGTGACTCCCTATTTGAAAAGACCTACAGTTAAACCGGTCACGGAGACATAAAACAAATAATCTGACCCCAAGCTTAGGTCGCAATAGAAAGAAAACACTCCCCGCATCGCACAAACCACACCGCGAACAATAGGCACACCTTGACCAGCTGATCTTTCTGCACACAACTAATTAGGTCAACAGTTCGCAACACATTTCCTTAACTCCTCCTCGTCTACTAAGAGTCGCAGTTTATTTTTGCTGTCTGCTAGTCAACACATACTGTGGTCGCGACTCAGTAGGAGCGCGAAGAATGACATAAATTTCGTCTGACCACGCTTCATTGATATCACCTTCCTCCTGTTCGAGTTTTAAATTGACTTTATCCCCGACCTGTTATCTGACAGTTTCAACGGTCTTTAAAGTAGACTGTTCATTGCTAGATAACTCAGTGCACAACTGATTGACCAGAACTGAATTCTCGTTGTTCTGTGTTTGATCAGGCGAGTCGTCACTAGGAGCTTGCAAACTTTTCTTCCTCCGTCTCCCCCTCGTGTGTTTAGACGGCGCGTCACTCTGACTGCAAACCTGTTTATCACCGGGCCTCTCACAAGAAACTACACAAGAGAGTCCGTTTAAATCTGCCGGGGGCACGACTCGAGCGGGGCCATGTGGGCTCCTACGCCACACTTGGCGAGTTCTGTTCTGACTATAGTTAGCCGCTTCTTGCCTCTGCACATGAAAAGGGTGCCGAACTTCGCCGACTGGTGTTCTTCTTTGACAGGCATTCATTAAATGGGATGACGACTGACAAATAAAAACATCGCTTACGCCGTTTCTGCTGTTGTGATAACATAGCTAAATGTTCTTTCAGGTGCTTAATCTCAGATGTTAAAAAGTCCAACTCACCCTTCACGTTCGACGACACTGAAGAATTCACAGCATTCACCTGCACCGCTGACTCATTATTTAACACCCACTTTCTTAAAGAACAAATCATCACGAACCCATCTAATGGCAAAATCTCTGATAGATAGAAAAGTCACACTTGGGTCTTGGTAAACTTTCTCTTGAGCTAATTTTCTACAAATCGTATCTCGCAATTGTAAGATAAACTGATCTCTCAAGATCGACGTATCAAATAGCGTCATGTTCTCTTTCTTCTGTGCGGTAATTATCGCCTCGAATGCTGCATGCATACGATGAGAAAAACAACGGATCGTCTCATTCTCACCGTGCCGTAGGGAAAAAAACTCAGATGCTAGTTCAACAACGCTTCGATGCTCTCCATACACGTGTTGTATGATATCTAGCAAATCGTTAGCATTCTCTGTCTGATGTAATTTTAACTCTTGTCTGACACTCGCTGTGACGTGATCGAGCACTACATCAATCTGGTCTGCCGGACACGTTCGTTCATTTCTAAACAAGGCTCTCACCTGTCGAACAAAATCATCTGTAACCGTGGGGCCTCCTGTCCCATCAAAGTGCGTTATCTTTACGCGCTCTGGCAACATAATAACATGCCTGTACCCTGGTCTGTCTGGCAAACAGGACCCTTCCACCACCGAGGTCGGAGAACTACCTTCATGGTGCACGTTACTGCTCGCACGAGTACTCTCCTCCATCTTGCTTAGGAGTTTCAACTGAATCTGCCCCACTGGGTCGGCTAGCTATTTCTAAATCTAAGATTCACACCTACTCGAGGAAAACTAGTCACCTTCTCTACCAATAACTGAAAACAAGTACACTAATTTGACAACTGTCGGAGAACTAAAAAAGCGACAAATACCATACCCAAAATCTGTGATAAAGGAGCCATACACGTGGTTGCCATTAAAAACCAATCAAAAACTATAAATCGATAGGATTACCAGAACTAACTAGACAAGACACAAAGTATTTTGTGGCCACCAAACCTGCCGGACGACGCCATTTGTACTAGGGAAAAGAAGCCCTAAGTACCAAGATAAAAAATAAAGGAAAATAGTTCGTTTAGGTGGGGACTAGAAACAGGGATTTTCTAGTCCAGACACAAGATCTTCTGTGTAAAGTCTAATAAGCCAGGTAACAAATAAACAAACTACACACACTAACCACAAACCCTAATCTGAAGCAAAGCAACTGGAACTATAATTATCAAATTCACATCTATTTATTTCACTGAACATCATCTAAGGTCTTCACAAATAATAATGCATTAAAATTCACAACGTGTTAGGAAATACCCTACAATAGATGAAACCTATCTTTCTCTCTACACACCTCAACCCACGTTGCGTAAAATCATTGAACGCAACGGACAAATCAGAACTACATGTTTCTCGTCCTAAAACCAGTGAGCCTAAGAGGGCGAAAATGGTCACTCCGGTCTGTTTTATCACTTCCTGACCCCCCAAGTTGGCCAGGTTTTTAGGTCGCTTAAATAGGCCTAATTCAATTTATGTAACAGTCGTCCAGCGCCTATTTCATTATTATTATTATTATTATTATTATTATTATTATTATTACTGTTATTACTATTGGTATTTTTACACATACATCACCATTATCATCACCACCACAACCACTACTATACCACCACCCACACAACAAAAGCAAACAACAATTACTACTACTACTACTACTACTATTACTACTACTACTACTACTACTACTACTACTACTACTACTACTACTACTACTACTACTACTACTACTGCTGCTGCTGCTGCTGTTGCTGCTGCTGCTGCTACTAAAACATCAACAAAAACATCAACAAAAACAATAATTTCCCCTATTGCTGCTGCTGCTGCTGCTACGACCATCATCTCTATAACAAAATCCATGGCCACTACAGAGTCTGTAAAAAAATGCTGATATTCACGTCAAAGTGTCTATTACAGTAGTTCTGAAAAAAATCATGTTGGCTATAAGATGCCACGAAACAAAGCGCAGACAGCAATTACTATTGCTCCTGATACACCTCTATGTATTTTATTAATATTGCTACAGCAGCAACAACCACTGCTACAATCAGAACAATTCATTCTCCAGATTATAGGCCTAGGTGCTGACTTCATCAGCTTGACGTGACGTCACCACCCCGGGCTAACGATGTGTTCCGTGTTTACTGTGACAGTCCGGGTTTATTTTTTCAGTGTGTTTCCGGCTGTGCCCCGAGTACTCCCCATTAAACTGATAGAAATAAGCTCGAGGACAAAACGTATATATAAAGTTATACACAAAATGACGACACAGAAACAGAAAGTACAACAGAAACTATATATATTTGAGCTGCAGTATGTTCATGATGTCCCATAATCCTCTGTAAACTAGTGAGTGAACTTAGCCAGTTTTTTTTTTCTTGGATGATTTATCAAGCAAGGATATATCGTTTTAAACTTTTCTATAGTAATTTTAAAAAAAAATAACTTTTGCTATAGATGGCAGCGCTTTGGAAGCAATGTTTACTTTAGAACAACCCTCACCACAGACACTACTTATTTTATCACTGATATTTACATGTAAACTTCATAAAACAATATGCATAAACAATTTTTGTGTGATCTTTGCAGGCTACAAATTCTGTTTCCTACTCAGCTGATATAAGCTTCTGCATAGTTGCAAATGCTACAAAAGTCAATAAAATTATATAATTTGAAGGGTATTTTAAACCTCCACGGTCAAGCAGCTGTATGTAGTCTGTGGATATTGCACCTGAGTCAACATTATATGCTAATGACCTGTCCATCTGCAGTATACCCTTGCATGTAGCACACTGAATATTTTTGTTCAGCTTACTAGAGACATATCCAGCAATAGACACCAGTGACGCCTCTCAACATTTCAGAACCAATAATTCACAGTCATTTGGGTTTATATGAAAGAAAAAAAAATTGTTCACGTCTAGCTGAACAGCATCAGTAATTATATCATCCCCGTTTTTACCTTCATTGCTGCTAAGAAACTCTGAAAGGTCATGGATAGGAAAATCTCCATGTTGTGTGTGTGTTGTGTTGTGCTGTTCGTCTATAAAAAGTGATGAGGGCCACTCTTTCTTTCATCCGTCATGAACTGGATGTTGAAATGTACGGGGGGGGGGGGGGGGGGGGGGGGGGAGGGGGGAGAAGGGAGGAAACGTGCGATACATTTGTTTAAAGTGAGGAAGAGTTGCTCAACTTCGTCGACCTCACTCTCTCGTCTGTATCCATCTGAAATCAGTGGCAGGAAAAGTCGAGACGGCTGGAGATAAGGTGAGGTGCAGTGGATGACCAGGGTGTTCTGTGTGCCTCACCGTGCTCGTTGGACTCCACAGCGCGTTGCTTGTAACCGCCATGTTGAACCAGGTGTTGATTTCCTTCGCACATTTAGCCGAGTGCAGACTTTGCTGCTAGGATAGGCAGATCCGAACTCACCGAGGGCTACGAGACCATTGGGTTACCCTCACCTGGTTTAGCCGGCCTGACAAAGCAGTTGTCCGGGGGGGGGGCGTGGCCGGGGGGGGGGGATATCCATAAGTTGATGAGGACATACTAAGCAGTGAGTAAACTTTTTTTTTTTTTTTCATTTCTGCTTCTAAAATTTGCTGAACAGATACTAAATAGTTTATTCCCGATAACTGGCGATATTCGCCAAACCGAACTTTTAGGTTGTCAATCTGCAGCTTTCCAAGAAGTATAAAACTGGCTTCTGTTGTTGCAAACATATATTTGATTAGAGAAATCATTGCGGTCACTGTGAGCAACAGGGCACTGTTGTTTCCTTGATCAGTTTTCCTTTGCAACCAGTCAGCCTATCCCACTTTCTAAGCCATTCAGCAAACTGTTCAAGATAAAGTACTTTTGACAATATAGAGTTTGAGAATGATTTCAATGTCTTCTTACCTACACATTTACTTTCCACATTAACAATAAGCTACCATCTAAGGATGCCCTCAATAACATCTGCTGTTTCATTACTGTCCACTAGACGCAGAGCAGCAACATTGAATTCATTAAAAAATGCCGAAGTAAGAGGAACGTTATGTCTGTCCATGCAGGAGGGATAGAGGGCTTTTGTGGGAAAGTTTAGGTGCTAGTTTTGAAATATTCCTTTGCTCACTATAATCCAGTTGGCAATTTATATTAAAATCTGTTGACTGTGTATTAGAGATGCATTGCCAGTTTATGTTAAAATCTGTATCTGATACAGCAGTATCAGACGTGCGAAAATGTTTCACGCTAACTACACTGGTTTTTCAAGGAATCAAAATTGTATGCAGCCGTCCTGGTCTTAAGAGAGAATCTGAAGGAAATTTAAACACACTCACATATCCACTTGAAGGATCATAATTTGAGCAACACTCAGGTACAGAATATTTCGCAGGCATAGCTAACAAAACTAAACACTTAAGAACAGTCTATTTCAGAAATGTAACTTCAAAACATTGTATCTACACACGAAAAAATCACAGTCCCCTTTCAGGTCATTCTAAAACAGACTTTGTTCGCTGGGCGTAGCCTATGGCGCACAGCTGAGTGGAAGTGCGCCTCCATTTCTCTATCAGAGTGGAAAAGACATTGATCAGAACGTTTTATGCGAATGCCCAGACTTTGCCAGTCAGAGAGAAGAGATCTTACCCACAGGAGCTTCCCTACAAGATAAACTTTAGGACACCGGGTGAAAACCCCAAGAGCACAGTCCTATTTACAGTCTTTATTGGAATAGTCGAATAGCAACCAGTGCTCGCTGAGGAATTACTGCCATCATGACAATGTCCCTTCCCCCCCCCCCATCTTTTCAGTTATTGTCTTATCTCCATTAGTCTTGGTTGTTAGTAAACTAATTTAGCCGCAGTTACATATTATTTAACTCATATACTGTAAAATAAAAGTACGTGTATTATTCACAGCAGTTACTAATCTATTTCCACCCCATTCAAATTCATGTTTTAAATATTTCATTTACAGTGACAACTGACGCTATCGTTTGTCTAAACCTTGTAATACTGTTTTCACAATGTTGACTTCGGCTTTTATGTTTTCACAGTACTTGCTGATCAACATGACCAATCTCTCCCAATCTTTCCCTTTGTAATCTCAGCGATTTAATGGTCACACAGTTATCACAAGTTTGGCTAGCCTGTGATCACTGCCTGCAAGTTGGTCTAGCACACGGCGATCAATTTTGTGGAAATTGTGGCCTGTTAAGAAGGCCAAACTTGGAGTGTAAGTGGTTCGCCGACTTCTTGGATAGACACTAGGATTCTTATCAGGGCTCTTGGTTTGTGGAGATGAGAGTTTATTTCCCAAAACCCCATTTTGCTTCTGTTGTCAGCGTCTGGTTATCCTTAGCCGTCTGAGTGGTTTGTACAGTATTCAATCTTGCTCAGTTTTTCACCAATTTCAATTTCTTAAAAGCGTTTGATCTTTATTTTCTATTAGGTTTTATTTTTCGTTTCCTCCTAATCCGTCTTTATCTCCTCCTTCTCCTCCTTCTCCTCCTCCCTCTTCTTCTTACTTCTTCTTCTTCTTTTTCTTCTTCTTCTTCTTCTTCTTCTTCTTCTTCTTCTTCTTCTTCTTCTTCTTCTTCTTCTTCTTCTTCTTCTTCTTGAGGTTTCGGGGTGATATAACGAGGTCTGCCTGCCGCTCTTCTGGTTGCCTCAATC